AATGCAGTTTGACCCGTTGCTAATGGTGTCCTGACTCTTGCTCAGCAGAGCTTTACATTAGGGCTGTTGGCATCTAATTGGAAGTGACAGAGCAGCACCTGTATCTGGCTCGGCACAGTTGTTTACCAGCATAATGTTAGAGGTGATTGCGGGGAGGAGGGGGGAGGACCGTAATGATCTGCCGGGTAATGTTGATATTCTTTACGGGAGTCATTTTACTCTTACAAGGTCAAACCCACCATTTACGCCGCCTCAGCGGATAAATAAATCAGCGCTTGACAAGTTTGTGTTGATTACTACTTTGTTTGCAAATTCATGGGAATAGGAATGCGGCATGATATTTTAGAGAGTTGTGACTGTGTTGACAAGACTGTGGTGAATTATTTTTCCTGGGAATAGCTTTTTTTTTTCATGTAGCTCACAGTTGGAACTTTGTGTAGTTTTTAAAAATAGGAAATACCATTGAAAAATAGGTTAAGAAGGGCTTAACTTGGGCTCAGATCAAGCCCAAACAGAACAGAGGCAGTTCAAAGGTGCCGTGTCTAATGAGAAAATGACAGGTAATCATAGACATGAGAAACACCCAGCAAAGGTCTCTGGCTACACTTTTAAAATGTGGTGCACGTGGTCAAGCAAGGTGCACCATTTTCTTTCATTTGGGGGGGGGGCATTAAATTGAATGTGGCAAGTGTAAATTCCTTTTGTGAGAAGTTAGCATCACAATATTTCAACATGTTTTGCTCAGAGATCCTGAGCTTCACTTTGGAGCAATTTCACGTTAAAACCATTTTTAATGCTACCAACCATCAATCAGTTTGTGTAACTTAAATATGGAAATTAAAGGGATGAGGAGAAGTTATTCAAGATGCAGATTTACAATTGAACCGCACATTAGTGGAGCCTAGATGCTCTATGGTGGATGTCTGCAACACATGTGATTTATGATTTCAAGAGGAACAATTCACTACCACTGTAAAGTCACGGCATGTTTTTCAAACACACTGAGAAACGTTTTTGAAGGTGGGGAAAAAAAAACGCAAAGGAAGCTTTTGTCTATTTCAACTCTTCATTTGGTACCACAGAGACAACATATCAATAAAATGTCGCTTGGAAATGGCTCTCTGGTGGGAAAAACATGCTAAAACAGGGAGAAATCGGCATGTAAATCTGATGCAAAGTCAGCGTTTTTCAGGTTCACACAACCAAACTGAGAGTTTAAGCTGGAGACACAAGGCAGAGTTTGACTGTAAAAAACCTGATCCACTAAGTGGTAGCTGTGTGCTGCCTTGTTGTATTTTGACTGACTTGCATTGCTCTGATTGTTACACTGTAGTTCCTGCACTGTTCATTCAGGGATTCTGTCTGTAAAGGTTTTTTAAAAGCGCAGAGTAGGATGAGAACAACAGTCAGGTGTTCAATATCAGCTGCTAGAGCTTGTCCCCGGCACAATTATCAATCATTGCAGGCGACAGCACCTTTAAACCGTTCTTTCTCTCTGTTTCGGCCAAATGCATAAAATGAACTGCGTTTTTTTACCTCACTGTCTTTATCACCCCTGCCCAGACATCTCAAAGAGCACTGAGGGGAAAGAAAAGCAGCTCTATTTTTTTCTCAACCTCATTAGGCTGGAGCAAAGAAGTCTTCTTTTTTTTTTTTTGTCTTGCGGCCATTCCGCCGGCCTTTGTCTCCAACATCTGTCCTCAGGCGGGCCGAGTTGTGATGGAGCCCGTGCCGTACATTGTGCGATCTGCTCCGATGATACCGATGCTCTGAAAAGGTGGTTTGGTGGGAAGAGCGGAAAATAATGTACTTTCCTTCAGCTCACACACCCCATGGCTTGGTTATTCACACTCAGAGCCAATTTAATTTCAGCAGGAATGGCCACTAATCAAAGCTTCATTTCCCCATTTTTAAGCTCATTTCAGTTTATGCATTCTGCAAAGTACATTAGTTTTTTGGCATTTAAAAATGGGAGGTCTTAGCTGTTTTGCACCACCATGTGCATGTGGAGGAGCTTGGTGATTATTTGTAGTTCATTAGTACTAAACAAGATTCTATATGAGAATAAGCACTCAGGGATAGCCATTTTAAAATGCTTTAGCCTGGGAGATAATGACTTCCCCATGAAAAGGGACTTACTGCCTAATCCATATGTCTTCTTTCTAAAAGGGATGATTTTTGCAAGCGAAAAAAAAAAGACAATGAGCTCTCGTCGTGCTATTTGTTGTGAAATTTTTAGTGGAAAGATGTGGCTCCATTTATTGAAAATATAAATCGGACATCTGCATCCTTTGGTAAGCAGTAGTAAATGAAAAAGACACTCGAGTGCCACAAGAGCATTTATTCACTTCTATGCACATGTATGTGTTGGTCTGCTTTGTGCACTGCAAGTCGTTTGAGTTAATCAAAAACCCCGTGCCTTTCCGGTCAGAACAGCCCCCACAAAGTTAGATGTAAGACTTAAGTCAACACTGCTATGGTCCTGTGTCAAAGAACCATAATACAAATGTTCCTAGCTGCTAAATGTAAATCAGCAGGCATTCTCATGAAGGATCTCGATCTCTTTGGTTCCCAACAGACTATCGGTGAGGTTTGAAAGAAGAAATGACTGCTGAGAACTCAGAAACAATAAAACACGGTTATCAGAGCTGGTTCCAACACTCAGCTATTTATGTTACCATGATGATTAAATCCTTCTCGGGCACATTCACAAAATACAAGTTATTTTCCCCTCTAAAACAGTAGGTCATCAGTTCCACATCCCTGAACTCAGAGGTATTGGGAGATATTAACATGTAAGATTTTCCTGTAAAGTAGAATCCTAATTAATTGAGACAATGACTGGCCCAAATTCCCCCCTATTTTTATGGAAAATGTAAAACACACCCATATTCTCTCTTTGTTCCCACAGACAGCTGCATGTATGCAGACCATTAGCCATTCAGTGTGTCATGACCACGCTTGGCCGTGGTGTTTGTTTGATTTTCCTCGAGTCTTAGGCTGGGTGTGGAGTTGCTTTCCACAGAGTTTTGGGGAGACAGAATAAAAAAATCAATGTGTTGTATTTCTCATACTAATAATTCACTTCGTAAATGACAAACATCATTATTTCAGCATCTTTGACTTTGGTTTAATGTGTTCATTTGGGACAGTTGTGCTTAAATAGTGTGAATTTAAGCAAATTGTGTTGTTCTTTTTCTCTTCTTTTCAGAGTTCATCTTTTGTCTGACCTCTTAAAATACATCTTATTTTTGACCGACTGATCACAAAGCACCATGATGTGGTCTCATTTTGAACACGGCGGAAAGATTCCATCGTTCTCCGCAGAGTCCACACAGTATGTTGAGTGCTGTTGTCAGTATTGTATAGATTAATGGACGGGGATAATCGGTGTGTGTGACTCTGCTGTGCCTGTGTACGTGTGCCGAGGAATCGTCCCTTTTTCCATTAGAGCCTACGGTGTTGATGGTACTCATCTATCAGCTGAAAGAGCCGAATAACCAAGAGTGACATTCAATTACGTTATGCAAATTTGTGTCCTTTATTTATTTATCTGGGCTTCACCATTCATTTACTTAATTAACTATTTTGGACGTGCGCTATCATGAACAGATTGCAATATTCTTTCCAATAAAGGCAATAATGAAATATATTATTAGCAATAAAGTTAATGAAACAACTGAAGTGAGACTCCTCATCACTGCTGGATGGATGGCAAATTAAGGATAATAAAGGGTACGAGCAAGGAACACAGACCTGGGAAAATGGGGCCTGTAAATTATTGTTTAAGATTTCTGAAGAAGCGTTAATGTGATGTACGCAGTGATCTGAACCTGTATTGCATCGCTCTGATGCATAAGAGCCTGCATTGTCTACCTGCCACTTGAGGGTATAAATAGAACCTTTTCCCCTTGTTGTTAGTGCAAATTGAACCTTGTTCTCAATTAAAACGTAATTAAGAGGGTGAAAGCGAGAGTTGGATGTTTTGACAGACCCCCTGAACTCTCAACACTTAATGGTGATTAAAAGTATTGAGCTGAATCATGTTTTCTGGCACACAGTGTGCGTTTATGTTTTGTTACTTTTATGGTAATATACCAGTCAACAAAAATAAAATCCTGAACAAAAAAAATCATTCATCGATATCTAAAAGTGTTCAACTCACAGTCAGAGATTTCGGCGTCCGTTGAACATCTCAGAAATGGAAACAATTTCATGCATAAAAGCTGCTTAAAGAAATGAGTATGTCATTTTAAAATTCCTCCAAAAAAGCAGTGAAATGTATCGACAGCAGCAACAAAAACATCAGATATTTTTGTAGTTGCTGTAGATGGTATTTTTCCCATCTTGAAGCTATAGGCCGGCTCACTAATTGGACAAGAAGAGTCTAAGAGCCAATGTTTCTGCTGACCTCTGAGGCCAAGCTGGGCATCAGAAAGAAAGCAGTTTCTTTGATGTTAAAGGCTCAAACTGACTGAAGTTCAGTCAGAGCCTTTGGGCAAGTACCTTTCTACCAATCCCAGCATCCACTTGAAGCGCATGTATGAAAGTACAATGAGAATTTTACAGGACCATTACTGTTAACTCCGAAGAAGAAACTGAAACTTGAAATTTCACGGTTGACACATCTGGGAGGGATTGGAAAGAAAACTGCAGGATTTTTTTTTAATCTCCCAACAATTTTGTCACGTTTCATATCCCGTGTATGTTGATGCCTGAAAGTCACAACCTAAAATGTGAAACCACAAGCGCCGTGAACCTTTTTTGAACACAGCTCTGTATTTTAACATCCAGTCAACCCATTCACATTAAAGCACTGCGGATAAACTGCATACTTCTGACTCATTTTGAGGCAGAATGAGCTTTACTGTGAACATTCCTGGGCCTAAACCGACATTCTGGCTTTAGATGGGCTTTCTTTCCTTCTCATTATAACAACAAATTCACTGCTATGAATACACATGTGCAAGAGTTTACATTGATATTTGTTTTAATGACAGTGGTAGCAATCGGGGAAACAAAATTTAGCCCTTAAGTGCGTGGCGACAGCAGGGGCCCTTATGTAGCAGCTGGTCAGCGCCGATGAGTGTCCGTCTCACTTTTTGTATACAGCCCATCGTCATAATTGATGGAGTTTGTATAGATATAGCGTCCACTTCAGGCCTAAGCCCACTCAGAGTGGGTTAGTGCTGCGAATGACTGGGGCCGAAAGCAAAAGCCTAACTATGTCCCACAAAATGGAAAAAAAAACACTTTAAACACTGCAGCAAGGCCGTGTGGGTTGAGAATGAAGTAAACTAACTGTAGACCATAATTTAAGAGAAACCAGCTGTGTTTGACATTGCAAAAAAAAACACATGGAAATGCTTACATTTCTTTAAAATCTACTCTTGTCATCCAGTTTTGTGTAATGTATATCTGGCTCTTCTATACAAAGGGTGGGGTCCTGCAGATTTTACCTCCTATATGGTATCTGGAAAAGTTCTCAGTGACTTTTTTTTTTTTACAGTTTTAAGATGTTTACTGAGAAACCACAAAATAATAAATGAAAGAGAAGTAATCTGGAGTTGTTTTCTACATTGATTCAAGACAAATGCCAAAACTCACCATGTATGATCAGCTAAACCAGGCTAAAGTCTTTCAATGTGTTTCATAAATACAAACTTTGCCCTGTAAGGATAAAATCTTATGGATTAAAACTGGGCTTTCTGTGTTGCTTTTTCCCCTCCATTTAAGAAAAAAAGGATCAAAGCAAATCAAAGCAAATTTTCTCCCCAAAGTAATAAAAAGGAGAACTACATTTTGCCTTAACTTCCATTACTGCCACTCTTACCTCATCCAAAAGCCGGAGCTGTCCACCATGAATAATAAAAGAACCGATATATGGAGTCTTTTCTGGCTCTTCGTCGCAAACCAAGGGGAGGTTCCATTAAAGAATAAAAAGGAGAGTCTCTTTTGTTACGTCCAGATTTTTTACATTATGAAAGAATTCATTAAAAGGAAAGAAGGTGACTTTTCCTTTCAGTGCGATGACACATGGAAAGGGAGCCTTGTCAGGGTGGAGATGGGAGCCACTGATGAGTCTGGTGAGGGGGCTTTCGACCTGAGAGGAAAACGGGGTTATTGATTGACTGAGCCAGCACTGTGTCCTCTGCACTCTGTCAATCATCCGTGGACCATTTTCTTTGTTGCCTTCTTTTTTTTTTTTTTCTGGCGCACTGAAGATCACCTATTTCCCAAAATGCTCTTTGCCGGGCCTGTGTCCTCATTTAACTTCATTACTGTGGGCCTGACATCCAGCCGGCGAGGGGGGGGGACTAACTCCTTCGACCCT